TGAAATGTAAGGACACTAGAGAGAAAGTCAAATCCACATGAAGGATTAAAAAAAAAAAAAGTCAATGAGAGTGAATACAAACAGCAGCACAGTAAGTATAAAAGGCAATATCAGTGTATTTTTTTTCTTTGTAATTTTTCCCTCCTGATTTAAGATAACTGCAGAAAGAAATAATTATAAATGTACATTGATGCATGCACAATGTATAAAGACATAATTTGTGACAAGAACAGCATGGGAAGGAATAAATTATATACAGTGAACTATTTGTTAATGAAATTGAGATTGACCTGAAGCAGATGAAATAAATAAGCTCTACAATATCCTATAATAAAGATTCTTTTTTTTTCTTTTAGCAGTATTGGGGTTGGAACTCAGGACCTTGTACTTACAGGTAGGCAAATGCTCTTCCACTAGAGCCACAACCACAGCCCTTTTTGCTTCTAGTTACTTTTCAAATAGGCTCTCCCATTTGTGCCTTCTGTGTAGCTGGGGTGACAGGCATACATCACCATGCCTGGCTTATTGGTTGAATTGAGGTCCAATTAACTTTTTGCAAGGGTTGGCCTCAAACTGTGATCCTTGTTGTCTCTGCCTCCCAAGTACCTGGGATGACAGGTATGAACTACTGTGCCCAGCCTTCCTATAATAAAAACTCTTCGTTGTTTTTGATGTCATTAGACTTTGCCAAATAGGTCACAAATACCTACTTCTGTGTTTTCTTCTAAGTGTTTTATAGTTTTTGCTTACATTTAAATCTGCAATTAATTTTGAATCAATTTTTGTGTATATAGGTGAGGATGATGTTCTTTTTTCTGTCTGTGCTTTAGATTGCATAGCATCTCAATCTGTTTTCAGGTTTGCAGTTGACTTTCTGCCAACCTCAATCTACTGCTGAGCCTCTAGTGAATTTTTCACTTTTGTGATTGTACTCTTTGACTCTAGAATTTTAAACATAATTCATCTTTATGTTCCCTATTTGATGTAAAGTTGCAATTTCCTTAATTCTTTAAATCTTGTTTCCTTCAGCTCTTTGACATATTTAAAATAGCTACTCAGGATTTATTGTACATCTGTTACCTGCCAAAAAACTTTTTATTGTACATTTTCCCCTCTAAGTATTCATCACACTGTGTGTTTCTATCTCATAATTTTGTATTGAAACTGGACATTTTAGGTAACATTTTCCTCCTTCTCAGGTGTATTTTTATTTACTGACTTGGCTGGACTCAGATTCTACTGTTTTCCTCTCTTCATTTTTATATCCTCTTTCTTAGAGGTTGCTCCTTGAGTCAGCACATTTAGTGGTCAGCCACTGATTGGTCAAAGGTTGTGCTTAAGCCCTCTGAATCAATAGACTTTTACATGTTTTACCATGGAATCTGTGTGTAGCTTGAAAACTCTTCTCAGTGCTAGGGAGCTAACACATTTATCTTACATTTAGCCAGGAACATGAACCTCAGAGGTTCCTTGTCTGGTCACTCCTCTGAGGACATAGGCATGTACACATTCTTCTTGATCTTAAGGGATATCTAGGGTTTTATGCTGGCTCGTTTCTTTCTTCATCCCGTCTTTTAAGCTTCTAGATGGTATCTATTGGTATGAGCAACAACTGTTGGCCTCCAATAAATTCTAGCTGGTTGTGCTGTTTTCAGCAATACTCTAGGGCATTAATTGCTGGTCTGTCCTAAATACTCATGCCTTGTGATGGTAATTTTTAGGCATCAACTTTACTGGATTAAAGAACACCTTGAGAGCTGGTAAAACATTATTTCTAGGTACGTCAGTAAAGGTATTTCCAGAGATTGGTGCATGTTGGTGAACTAGGGAAATGGGCAGCCATCTCTTGCCCTTGATATCAGAACTGCTAGCTCTCTGGTTTTGGACACCAACAACCCCCTGGGTTCTCAAGCTTCTGGTCTTGGACTACAGAGTCACAACACTGGCATTCCTGGTTCAAAGATTTGGGACTTGGACTGAACCACACTACCAGCATCCTTGGGTCTCTAGCTTGCAGACTGCATATTTATGGTACTTCTCAGTCATCATATGATCCAATTCACCTATTAAAATCTCTCATAAAAAACTCCTACTGGTTCTGTGTCTCTGAAGAACAGACATAGGCCCTTTGTAATAGCCAGTATACTGTCAGTATTTGCAGTTCACTCAACCTTCCCCTGAACAGAATCTCTCAGCCTTTTGCTATGGGGCAGGAGGCTGAGGGATGAGGGAGTGGCAGGGAAGACAGCTCTGGAAAATATAATCTGTCAAATGAATATATTTAATCTTCCACCCAGAAATACTATCTCCCAGTTTTTTTTTTTTTTTACTTTTGGCAGCTTCATGCCAACTCTTAAGGTTATTTTGTGCCTCCTACTATAAATGAGTCTGTTTCCCCATAAATTATGGTTAATTGTTCAGGAATCTAATTTTCAGTGTACCTCTTTGGATTTTTCAAGATATGGAAGGCAAGTCATGTGCAAGCAGAATTTTGTTCTCTTCACCAAATTTAACTTTTATTTTGCTTTCCTGTCCTTTCACATTAGCAATGACTTCCAACACTGATTAAGAGCAGACAATCACTTTTTCCCCACATTGTTGCACTTCATATAAGCATATAAAGTACACCAACCATATTCATCCTCCTCCTTCCCGTAAGTACCCACTCTAAACAGGACCTGTTTTACAATCCTGTCCTTCAGTTTTAAGTCCATATTCATTGTTCCAATATTTCTTTATTGAAAGAAGTATTTCAGGAATTCCAACTTGTAACTTGAACACAGTCCTCTCTTTTGGCTGAAGCACTTTAAAATATTATAGGAGAATTCCAACATGTCTTTGCTAGTGAGTACTTAAACAAGTACATTGTTGGGATCTCCTAAAATCAAGATGTACAGTTAAACCATTTTCCTCTTTACTCAAAAGTTTACATTGTTCTAATAATTACACTTTTTAAAGAAATATTCTTAAATTTAGGGTAACCTGGAAACATTCTGCATTACCTCATTTTTAATCTCCCCATGAACAGCAGTACTAGTAGCACATCTCACCCAATTATTACTGTGGTAATTATTAGTGTACTTCACTTACTATTTCAGTTTTACACAAACACACCTATATTGGCAATATTGTATACAATTTGGTTTTTATCCTCTTTTATACAGATAAGTGTATATCACAAACTGTCCAACTTGTTTATGGGTTTTTGTTTGTTTCCTTTGGCAATATGGGCTTTAATTTATGGCCTCACACAGGCTAAGCAGGTGGTACTCTACCATTTGAGCCATGCCTCCAAAACTTTTGTTGTTGCTGTTTTCAACTCTTTAACCAAAGAGAAGACCCTTGATCAACTCAAGCAATAGATGGTAAATTTAGTCTACTGCCTGTTTTGGTAAATACTTTTTATGTAATTACACCCACTCATTTCTGTATTGTTGATGGCTGCTTCTGCATTTTGTTGAGTAGTTATGACAAAGAAACTATATCCAATAAAGCCTAAGTTATCATCTGACTTTTCATTGAAAGAAAATTGCTGATCCCTCAATAGCAATTTTTTCATAAAAACTATTCATTTTAATTTGTGCTGCTGAATATTTAACAAGAAAAACTTCCAAAAAGTGAATTGTTTTCTAAAGTAAATGCCAAACAGTAAAAGGACATTTCAGTGGAAATGGACAAACTGGAAAAAAATAATAAAACAATTTCCTGACTCAGAATTTAAGTTGAAAAAACAAAAACCTCTTCAATTGTATTAAGAACCTCAAAATACTTTAATTTATTTTGGGGGGCCATCTTTACATCAGTTTCAGTCAAGAAAAAAGAAGCAATAAAGAAGACTCACATAGGTTTACCTCTTCCAGAATAATCTATATTAACAAAATCAAAGGCTACTAACTAGAATATCTGGGGCAAGAAGCTGATTCTAAATGGCTTTGAAAACTTGAAGGCCATAAACATGTATCTCAACATCAATTTCCCCGGTGTGGTTACTCTGAAACGTATTTTTATAGTGCTGCAAAGACTGGCAGGATAGCTCCTTCTCTCCCCGCTGTGTTACAGGAGGTAACATCCCACTACAGATCAATGCATAAACACGGACCATTTCAATTTTATTAACATCCCACTACAGATCAATGCATAAACACGGACCATTTCAATTTTATTGCTGTTACGGTACTGAAGAGCTTAAACCTCTCCCTTACTCACCTTGCCAACACAACCAGAGAAAAAATTATAGTATGAGCTTTCTCAAACTTTCATGTATGACTTTGGGGAGGAAAACAAATCCCTTACTTTTGTGTAGCTCACTATCATTAAATACACACTTAGAAGTCTAAAGTTTTCTCATTAAAATAAAATTCCCATTTAGACTTTAGCAAAAAAAATTCTCTGTAAACACAAACTTAAGATAAATTTATTGAAGAAAACCTTCATTAACAATGAACAATGAAATTAACAATGCTTACCATTCTTTAAACACCATACACATTATTAATATATACTGTGTATTTCCAATCTATTCCATTCTTAAGCTCAATTTAGGAACACAATTGTTAACAGGTTTTATACAAAAAATACTCCACTAAGAAAGTAGATAAACTGCACAAGAACAGTACAAGTATAATGTGCATAGCAAGATAGCTTGAAGCATCTATGTATGGCTTTCTTTAAAATAAAACTATTAAGGGAATAGACCCAATTGGGACCTACTGTTACAGTTGACATATGTAAACTGTTTCACATCTTTTAGGCACTTGCTAACAATAGTGTTTAATCCCTGAAAAATGAATTTACAACAACAAAAAAACTACACTGAAATAAAACAAAAAAACACAAGAAAATAACATGGGTAAAATCTTACACATATCTTTTAAATTAAACAGTTTTACTAGTGCATGCACAGATCTAAACTGAAAGAAAATATAAGTTTTTATGTCAAAAACCTGTGCAAAATTTACATAACAAAGTACAAAAAATATGTACAGATTTAGTTTCCTATATACAGAAAAGCCCTGAAGTTTTCACGCAATCAATGAAAATGTCATTTAACACTCATAGTAACAATGAAACAAAAATTATGTAATACGTAATTTTGTAATACAAAAACTCCATTATCCAATGATACAACAAAATTTGATCCAGATTTGTAAGATGAAAAGTTTAAATCTATTGATTCTGTTATCCTGAAAGTGTCCATTTTGAAACTCTGTTGGGCATATCCCTTAGGAATCTGTCCAAAAGTTTTATCAACTGCCACTGAGTTCACTATTAATGCTTTCCCATTTTCAAACACCAGCTATATCAATATATACTTGTCAGTCACTCTGAAAAGTGGCTAACAAAAATGGCTTGCCCTAATTTTGAACATGTTAATAATAGTAATACAAATAAAAATGTTTTATTAATCTTGCTTCAAAATATTACCTCTGTAATTTTTTTTTTTAATTTTCAAGAAAAGCCATTGCCTTTGAAGTGCTTTTATGTTCCACTCTTTTTAAAGGGATGGCAACCAAGAAAAAAATGGCCATTTGGTTTATGGAGGACAATTTAAATCAGATACCATAGTTCTGTGCAAGGGGATCAATGAAGAATATATCCAAATTCAGAAAAATGTTGAAGTTTAATTAGACTTAAACTAGACAAAGTTTAATTCTTCTCGAGGCTACCCATTTGCTGCAACGCTTGATAGCCACTAAGTAAAAGAAAATTACCTTGGGAGGATGTTCCAATCTCTGACACTGGACAGAACTTAACAACAAACAAGGTTTACTTGCCCAAACTCTTCAAACATTATTTACGGTTTAACTGTAGTGAAGTTAAATGTAGTTTCCAAGAATCCTAAAACCCTTCAAATGAACATAGCAGATGTAGAGTTAACTTCTTTACCCAAGCTCTCAGTGTATCTTCTCAAGTCATGAGAAACTCATTAGTTCCAAAGTGAAAGAGTTCTGCATCTTCAGAGGAGCTACTGTATCAGATTCATAAGGCTGGTAGAAGAAGGAGGGAATGGGGCTGTCCACCATTACCCTCTATTAAAGAGTCTCTAAAGAATTAAATTGAGAAAACTGTTATATCAAATTTTCTTTAACCCTAACTTCCCACAAACACCTTTAAAAAATTCAATCAAGGTTACATATATATTTTTGTTTCTTTCAAAACTTATGTGTACAGTGATGGCATTTTCAAGTACCACACGTAAAGCTTTTGGTCTTCCACGGAAATAAAACCAACATTTAAAATGTCTGATTTCAGGAACTATCTGAAGTAGAAAATGTCTGCATTATGGTAATTCACTTCACTGTTTTCTTCTAAGGTAGTTTTACTTTACTTTTCCTCAGTAACTTCAGTAAGTTTTTCTAACATATTCCAATCCCGCGTAGCTTCCATCAAATGTCTCTGCCCATGACCAGCCCACACATCCTGATTGTCAAATACTCTACCACAAAACCAACAATTAAACTTAGCTTTCAAAACATTTTCAGAGGTAGTTTTCACAATCTGATAGTTGTTTTTGCTTGTCTTTTTGAGTGTTAATTTTAGCACAAATCTTTCTTTCACAGAATTAACTGGTTTAAATGTTTTGTGCCTCTTGGAATAATCATCCAAAGTTGTTGTTTCAGAAAGATAACAAACTGGTTTCAGCAAAGCACTGATAGTTCTTTTTGACAGTGAAACCTTAAGTACTCGTCCATTAAATTTTGCAATAGTTTTCATTACACTCACTACTTCTGGGGCATCTGCATCAGGATGATTCAAAACCACAACTGGTTGGTTTCTCCTAGGACATTTCACAAGCTGTTTGGAACTAAAAGGGAAAAGCCTCAAAGTTCTGACAGAATCTTTTGAAAGCCTAGGTCTGCTAAGCCCAAACGCTTCACGGACATCTTCAGCTTTAGCCTTTTCTTTACACTTTCTATGCAATGTTGATTTCTTTCTTGGAGGTTCTTGGCAACTATCCATACACTTTCGTTTACAGCTTCTGTTTCTAGATACAAAAGCAGCTTCAGAATCTTCATTTCTTACACGAGTTTTTATCTTTGAAAATTTGTTTTTGGAAGTCTTTCTCCTATTGAAATTTCTCTCAATTGTACAATTTGTTTTACACTTTAATATTCTGGCCTCTGAATGGTCACTGATACACACTGGTTCCTCAGAAGATTCTGGGCATGTTGCAGTAGAAGTAACAACAATTTCATTTGCTGGCATCAAATCATCTAGCAAGAAGGGTAAGGCATCTCTAGATGACTCTGGCTCTTTCTGCTCTCCGCCTATAGTCTGATTAGATGGTACATTCTCTTTCTGCAATGAGGATGCAGAGTTGCTAACTGACAGATTATTAGCAGCAGTCACATTTAAAACAGGGTTAAAAATTTTTACCAATATTTTTTGTGATGTTCCTTCAGGTCTCTTTGGCTGTATATTTTGGTAATAAGTACTATTTTGGACTAACTTAGGTTTAAGGAGCTCAGAGTTATTTGGCATTACACGTCTTAGAAAAACAGCTTGTTTACCATCAGGCAAGAGGGTATAAAGAGGTGCTTTTGGAAAAATTTCATTCTGCTGTTTCACTGAATCCAATACACTCAATTTTGTGCCCTGTTGCTCAGATAGCACATTAGAAGTAGGAACAGTTTTCACTGAAGAACTTGCTGATGTTTTAATAACATAAGAGCCTTTTAATGGTAACGTATTTTCTGAGCTACTTTTCATGCTTAAACAACTGCCAATGCTGGAACAAAGCACAGGTGTAAGACAATTATTGTTCTGTTCTACCTTCAAAAGGGGATTTTTGCAAGGCTCCCTTGTCAGAGTTCCATAAGCTTGAGCACTCTCAGCTTTGACAGTGGAAACAGTTTCAGGTTTCCCACTATTAAATGTCAAAATCATCCCAGGTTTCTTGTTTAAAATAAGAGGAGCAGGTATGCCTTGTGTATTAACCAGTGGAAGTGGTCTTCCTGAAACAACATGGAATCCAGGCTTGTTAGCAACATGCAATGGTATAAAGAAACCCTTTGGAGTTTGAACAAATACAGGGTTTTTTTGTTCTGAGTTTGTAAGTGGACTCTGCACATATAAAGAACCTGAATTCTGTGTAGTGGCTCGTAGTTTGTCTTTTACAAGCTGCTGTGTTATTATTGCATCTGACTGAGTCTTAAGTAATGTGCCAATACCTGGAATTTTAGGTGTCTTCTCTGAATCTCTCAGATCTTGCAACACTGATAGCACTTGTTTTTCCTTTCCATTACATTTTAAATTCATGTCATTTGTAGGCACGCTAACACCCACATTATCAGATGGAACTGAGAAGATGCCTTGCACTTTCAAGTCTTTTGAAGACTCAATTATCATGTCCTCTCCCTCGTGTTTTTGAAGTGATGGCTCACAATGAAGTGGCAAGCTTTTATTTGGAAAGTTAGAGTCTTGTTTTATATCAGATTTTGGTTTTAGTATATCCTGAAGTAATTGGTTTACTTCCGGTGGCAAAAATTCTGATGCCTGTTGACTCTGGAGAGAGAAAACAGATGTGATTCTAGGCATCATAGGTGAATCAACACTAGCAGTGTCATTCCAACTACATTTTTCAGTCATGCTCTCTAAATTTTGGTTTTCATTGGTGTATAGGCTTTGTCCATCAATGTTCTGTCCTTTTTCTACAACACATTGTTCTTCAAATTCAGCTTTTGTTTTTAAAGTTTCATCTTTATCATTTAAAAGGCTGCCAGATGGTAAAAGGCTGTCTGGGTTTGAGCTCTCTTTTCTTACTGGTGATAAAACTGTTTCACTAATTGGTTGCTGAACAACTGTTCTGTTTAATAATGATTCTCTCTGAAGGTTCTCACATATTGCTGTTCCTGAAAACCTACGACGTTTATTAGCGTTATTTACTTTTGAGTAATTATGGAAAGGTAATGATCCCTGGTTGGAGGATTCAACAGGTAACTCAGAGTTGACGTAATTAATGCAATAGTTATGCATATCTCCACTACTGTATGTATTTGGTCTGGTAGTATTGCTGACTTTCTCTGGACTTTTAATGGTGGTACCTAATACTTGTGGCTGACTCTGAGTGGTATTATTTTCCCATAAGTCAACATTATCTCTTGCTTCAACTTTTGGGGTCAAACTCACTGATGCAGTGGTCAAATTGTGGTCAAACAATTCTGATGTTGTTGGCAAAGATGATACATTTTTGCTGTAATCCATTGTTTGAAGTGTATTATTCTTTTCAGATATCAAAGCCATTTCTTTTTCGGAAATTATTTTCCCTGAAAGTATAGAAGATGAACATAAAAATGGAGTTACTTTCATATAAGCTGTATCACTTAACTCAGATGTTATTCCAGTTAAAAATGCAGTGGTGTCCAAAGTCTGGGGCTGCAAATTAGCAACACTGTCCTTTGCAGCATCTGACTGTGAGGCTGGTGAGTTTAAATTTGGCTTACCAATAGGCAACAATTTTATTACAATATGCTGTTTCCCATCCACCATCTTGAAGCCCATGAACCTAGCACCATAGTTTGCAGGAATAGTTATTCTGCTATTTTTTACCAATAACACTGTAGGTCCTTGTAGAGCAGTCTTCAAGAAACCTGAAGTAGCATTTGATCCTTCGTCAGCTCTATTACCTTGCTCAGTGGAAAGAAGAGTTGGCTTTTCTGACTCTGACTCTCCAGGCTTATCACTATTCTCACAATGTAGTCTTTCACCCTTTTCTTCATTTAAGTGCTCTTGACCAAGAAGGCTCTGTTCTTCAGATTGAGTCTTTTGTGTCTTGTTCATTCTATTAAGCACTTGAGTGCTTTTTTCTTCTATACCTCCGTCACTCCCATTGTTAATTTTCTTACGTTTCCAGAATGTCTTTGATGCACCTATTCTGTATCTTTTCAATATTAACTTAAGCCCTGCTGTAGTCTTTGCCATCCTTGTATCGTATTTGTCTTTTTCCAGTTTTTCTTTTGCATATAAGTGTTCTTTGTGCAAAGTTATAACATGTCTTACAAGATGGTCTTTATGTATGGCACCATAGCTACAGTATTGACAAGTAAAGGGAAGAGTGCCAGAATGAACATGAAGGTGTTTCTGAAGCTCTGCTTTGGTAAAACATACATGATGGCACTTACCACATTTATAATGAATTTCGTTATGTCTATGAATGTGCTGAACAAATGTGCCAACATCCTGGGTAAAGAATTTGCACTCTTCACATTGAAAATTACCATTAACACAATGTTTGGATGTGAAATGCTTTGTCAAGCCCAACAAAGTATATACACGCTCATTGTTACAAATGTCGCATTTTACTAAAGTGCTTCTATGGGTTTGTCGGTGTTGCTTAAATACCTGGAAGTCATTTGCTGAAAAACTGCACATTTCACAAGGAAATGAAGGTAATTCACCCTGGTGCCACATCTGAAAGTGTTTTTGTAAATCATTTGGGCTATACTGAGTGTTGTCTTGGCATTTTGAACAGCTGAAATTGAGTATTTTTGCAGACATTTTTATCCCCTCTTCTTCTGCTCTCTCAGACTTACAAAGCAATACACATTCCTCTACACAGCTTACAGTCTTTACACGAATAGATTTCCTTGCAGTCTGTGGTTTACACTGAAATAATTTTCTGTATTTGTCAACTTCATGTTTCATTAGGACTTCATTTGGAATATTTATCTTCGGCAAATCAATTTTCACATTTTTTAGTCCATAATGAAAACTAGTTTCTAAAATTTTTGGTTTAGGTACTGATCTAATAGTATCAGCTATCTCATTTTTCACATCATAGTCTTTCTTTAAAGTAGTTTGCTTTTTATCACAAAATAACTGTTTCTGTTCAAATGGCATGATGTAATTAAAAAAATTCCCAGCTTCTTTTGTTCTGAAAACTCTTGAGGTTATTTTTTAATTTAAACAGGAAACAATACTGTGCTGAGACATCTTCAAAATAACCAGGAATTTTCCCACATTAACTCACCTAAAATTAAACAAAGAACTGAAATTTTCATCACAAAATTAGAAGTAAATTCCAAAATTTTAAGTTCATTTTGGCACAAAATGAACAAATATATTAAAGACACAAAAGACCTGGTAAGTATGTTAAGAACAGCTTACCAAGAATAGATGAAAGTAAAACTAAAACTGACATGAAAGTCAGAAAATACAAAGTCTAGTTCACCTCTGCTATGTGACAGCGGGAAAGCTTCAACTTCTCTTTACCTCAGATTTTCATCTAAAGAAAACCACAGCTGGCTAAGTACCATCAAGTGATAAGATTTTTGTTTTGTTTTGTTTGAGACATGGTCTCAATATGTAGCCCAGGCTGGCCTCAAACTCCAATCTTTTGCTTCTGCTTTCCGAGGGCTAAAATTACAGGACTTGTGCCACCACACCCAACTTAAGTTCAAAGATTTTCATATTAAAATGACAGTTTTAAGTACAGTTTAAAACTGGACTTAAAAATCTTTTCATTTTATTTATTTCGAGACAGGTCTCACTATTTTGCCCAGGTTGGCCCAGAGATCCTAGGTCTTAGCCTCCACTGCATCCACCAATTTAAATTTAAAATATCTTTTAACAAGGGAGTCCTAAAAACTTAAGCTAAAGTTAGACACATGTGGTTTATCCATGTACCACTGAACTAACTTTTTCATTTGGTTAACTGGTCCTATAGTTATTTCCTTATGAGAACTCCAACAGATTTCTCTCCAGATTTTTTACCTCCTTAGCTCCTTGGAGATAACTTATATTTAAAATAAAAGCTTTATTCATCCAACACAGACAACAACAAATCATCTACTGTCTCAACTTATCATTACTAACGGGTGAAGAAAGAACTGGAAGAAATTGAAGGAAATAGTACATCTCCGTGACTTAAGTCCTTAGGTCCATCTACCATCTGTCTTGTTTCTTGTCACTGTGTCTATTTGGATTTTTGTATCCCCAATGAGGCAGACAGCAGAAAGGAAAGCCCCCGGCAGATTAGAATATTCTACCCCCATTAATTAAAGTACTTACTTGTGTCACTTTAGACAAGTCTCTGTATCTTAGTTTCTTTATCTGTAAAATGGAAGAAAAAAAAATTAGTATTTCTCCTTCCTCTTTCAAAAGGTGGTTGTGGAGATTAAATGAGAAAATACACATAAAAGTATTCTATGAAATGATACGTAAATCACAGCTAACAGTAATACTGTGTGTGATTACCATGTATGGAACAGGATAATACACTCTAAGATTATAAGCTGCACCAAAGATTCAAGAGTAAAAATATCAGTGTATTAGAAAAATTACCCTTTCTTATTTTTGTGCTCTTAAATGTATTCATATATACAAATGAATGTTAGATAAGACTAGATAAGCTAAAGAAAATAAAGTGTGAATCACATTAAACTCCATCCATAATGTCCGTATACAAGGTCTCACTTAAATTTTACTTAATCTAGGAACTTAACTGTTTTAGAAATCCTTTATTGAGGGAGTATAATTAAAAGTTAAATTATGTATTAAGAGGTTTGTTTTACTATCTTTCAAAAATACTTTGAATTGGATCTAAAATGCCACATCCAAATATAATATATTAGGGCTGGTGGAGATTGTTCAAGTGGTAGAGTACCTGCCCATCAAGCATGAAGCTCTGAGTTCAAACACCAGTGCTGCCAGAAAAAGAAAAAAAAAATTTTTTTTCAAAAGAAAAACACTGACTAGAAAAAAATTCCACAGTACCTGGTATATACTCTACATCAACTGAGAATATTCCTTCCTGAGTACTTTTTCAACAGTAACAAACATCACAATTACCTATGGAAATTTTATTTGACCAGAATCTCAAGGTGTGGTTCAAGCGTGTGAGTCTTTTCCAGTAGTGACTGTTTTCCATGGATAAGAATATCACAGGGTTGTCACTCTGGATTATCCATTTCTACACTTTTGTTTGCTATATATAATTAAGGATAGAATATCATGGGTTTCATTACAAAAGGCAAACTGCTTCTTAGTAATATCACACATCCAAAAGTATTATTTGTGGAATGTCAAAAAATTAGATTTTGATATGAATTACATTTCAAAAGAACTACAATTTAAAATTTTTCTTTTGAGTCAACTCCCTGTTTGGCTATCCTTATCTCAACCAGCAAAAACACTTGTTCCTTCCTATTATTGCTTATACTCTCTTTTCAACAAAATTAGAGATAAGGGCAAAATAGTTTCTGCTGGGTATTGAGGGGGTTGGGGGGAGAGGGAGGGGGTGGAGTGGGTGGTAAGGGAGGGGGGGGCAGGGGGGAGAAATGACCCAAGCCTTGTATGCACATATGAATAATAAAAATAAAAATTTTTTTTCTTTAAAAATAACATATCCCAAAGTCTGGTTGATAGTGTAAAAATAGGCTTTTTAAGTAACTCATTCAATTAATATACACTAATAAATAATAATTACAAAATATTTTGAAGAGTGCTATGGAGAAAATTAAAAAACAAGGTCCCTCCTCTACTGTAACTTGTAAGATAGAGGAGGAGGTAGGACATATACATTAATACATTACTTATTCAGCACAGACTATCCAGCAACTTCACCCAGTACAGTTAAGGAATAGAAAATAACTAAGCCGGATGCATGGCAGCCAAAATAGATGGCATCAAGTTCACCCATTAAACTACATACCCTTTCCTCATAAGCAAGTTTAGCACATTCTCAGGCAGATCTGACTTTTATTCCAGTAACTTAAGTGATTTGATTTGGTTTCACTATCCCTAGCAAATAAAGTGAACAAAGAGTCCTTTGGCAGGGAAGAGAGAAAAAATGTGTTTTAAAAGACAGGGAGATTCCATTTATATGAACTATCCAGGATAGTTAAATCCATATATAGAGAAAGCTGAGTAACTGTTACCACAGGCTGGAAGGAGGAGAGGAAATGGAGTGACAGCTTAATGGGTACGGAGTCTCCTTTGGGGATAACCAAAATATTTTGGAACTAGATAGAGGTGATGGGTGCACAGCACAGTGAATGTAATAAATTCCACTAAAATTTATGCTTTAAAATGGCTAATTTGGGGCCAGGTATGGGGATTTATACCTATAATCTCAACTGCACAGGATGTAGATATCAGAAGGATAGTGGTTCAAGGCCAGCCCAGGCAAAAAGAAAGTGAGATTCCACCTCAAGCAGTAAGATAGGCTTGGTGGTGAGTGCCCGTGACCCCAGCCAGCTATGAGGGAGGCCATGGATAGGACTGCAGTCTGAAGCTTGTCCCTAGCAAAACGCTACCTGAAAAATAACCAAAGCAAAAGAAGGGCTGGGTGGCGTGGCTCAAGTGGTAGAGCACCTTCCAAGCCAAGTGCAAGGCCCCAAGTAATGGAAAAAAAAGCAAAATACAGAAAGTAAAGAAAAAAACTGAAAATAATTTATACTTGACTGGCAACAGAATGTAGTATTCTTTTGCTAAGCTTCCCTAATTTTTGTTTCCACTTATTTTTAGATGCTTGTAAAAAATTTAAAAAGATACAGACTTACAGTAAAAAGGAGAAAGCCCCCGATATCCTCTTCTTTAACTAGTTGGTCTCCCACAAAACACTATTAATATTTTAGTGTATAATATCCCAGACCACTTTCTATACATTTATAAACATATACCTGCACACACACTGGATCAGTAGTACTCGTTTAGTTCCAGGTGTTCAAAATCCAACTGAGCCTAATTTAAGGAAAAAGAAAATTTACTAGCTTGGAGTAGTCCAACAACATGGTAGGCTTCATCGAGGGACACAAACAATGTCATTAGTCTCTAGTATCTTTCTTTTTTTTGGTTTCTCTGTTGGGCTCCAGGTGATGCTCAGATGACTGTTACAACTCAAAGGTAACATCCTACCTGGTACTCGCTTAATAAAAAAGCTTGTTACTCCTTCAAAAGCAGAACACAAGTCTTGGCCCCAATTTTCTTAAGTTTCAATCCCAGTACTGAAATACACTTTTTGAATGACCAGGCCTGATTTACAGAACCCACACTAGAGCCAGCGACTCAAAAACACCATCCAACAACATAAACTGGCATTAGGGAAGAGAAGATGGTTCCCTAGAAGAAAATTAGAGCATTATTACCAGATTGGGGGTGGAGGAGTATGAACAAGTAAACACCAAAGATTATACATATTTATATACATAATATATAAAATACACACACACACATAATTTTCTGTTTATTCTCATATAGAGTAATATACATAAACTTCCATACCTTGACCTTTTCCACTTTTCTATCATAGGTTTCTCTCTATGCCAGTACAAACAGATCTAGTTTATTCTTTCAATGACTACAGAATATTTCACAGTACAGATACCATTATGGTTTATTTAACCATAGACTCACTGGTAGAACTTTAAATGTTTTCAAATTTTCTGCCATTACAAAGATTGGTACAGTTACTGTTCTTTCATATGAAATGTTATGCACATAAATATTTCTGAAGGACAGCTATTGTACATTTGATCCATCCTAATATGCACTTCTGCAGGCCAACAAAATAAAATAAAAACCTACACTGAAAATATAAAGAATTATAAGGCTTGTTAATTTCCCTCTCTCCTTTTTTTTTCTATTAAAAGGATTCTAGATTTTAATTTGTATCTTGGTTGCAAATTGTTTTAAAAACTCAGAACATGAAGAATTAAAAAGCTATAGAAGTACTCTATCAACTACTTTGTTGCATTGCCTTAAAAAATTTCAAAATAAGGTTTTCAGCGATTATCTCAACATAGTTGTTCTCATCAAGGAGCCACTATTTGACCTGATAAACCCATTTAAGAAGAGCAAACTGAGCTATTGACTTGCAGCTATCTCTTTAACGAGATCATCTTTGAAACAGTGAACCTGGAATGACCTGTTACAATAATTAAGTATTATAAAGAAAAAGCAATGTAAAATGAAGGTCCTCTGAAGGATATGGGAGCTCTAAAAGAAAAAGAGGAACTAAAAAGTAACTGGAACTGTTAGGAAGCCTGTATACATATATATTTAACTGCTAACAAGGATGTATGACTAGTAAAGCAGAACACTTTTCCTTCTAGTAAAATGTTAGTAGACACTAATTACCAGTAAGAAAAGCCTCTACAATCCAAAAATCAAGTTTTAATTAACTACTTCTTTGAGGCTATTTTATGTAAGAATTACATAAGTTGATTTAAAAAAATATTACTAAACCACCTGTCCAGTTTGCCTTCAGTGACTAGGTTAAAGCTGAGAGGAAATATCTGAAGAGACAGGAAACTGAATGTTCCAATCTCTTAAGTTCCTCTACTATGTAACTTAGTCAAAATGGTTGTGAAATAAAGCATAACAGTCAGTTTGGGCTTCTTTCTTCCCCAATCATGGCTTACTTGGAGTTTAAAAATACACTGTAAAAAGACCATTAAATATTTTGTTTTGGAGTATCAAAAGGCATTTTAGATGCCTGGCAGATAAAAACTCTTCTAGTGTTAGCACCACTTATGTCCTGTTTCACATTTGACACCTCTTTCTGCACTACTCTTGGGTTTTCCCTTCGGTTCTCATTAACTTCAAATTCAAATACAAGTCTAAAAAGCTTCACTGGGAACGTTTTTGCTGAACAAATAAATAAAAATTGCAAAACAACATTAACAGACTATATTACTAAGGAATCCACTTACGTTTTTACTTAAGTTTGAATGTAAAATTTTTGTATTTAATTTATAGCATACAAAATATAGTATGAGGAGAATTAGTCTATTTTAGGTATTTTGGGGGTTTGTAATATTCTCTGAAATTTCAAGTTTGTCTGGAGAATCTTTTTGTCTTCAACTATGCCCAACCTGTTAGCATGCGGATGCCATTGTATTTGATAGTAACTTAGACTAGGGTTGCCACTTATGTTCCAAAAACGTATTACATGTTGTGAACATCTCAGGTAAGGTAAAAACAGAACACAGAAATTTTATCATCATTTTAATCCTACAACGTATTAGACTAATTACAGTTCAATCTTCACCAACAAGGATTACTGGTTTAAAACATACTATTTAAACTACTGATTTATTACTTCATAAGAACTGACCAACATTTCAAGTCACTGAAATAAGAAAATTTTGTAAAAGTATTAAAAATAAGCCATTTGATTTCTTCTCTCCCAACTGCCCAATAAATAGAAGTGAACAAACAAATCCTGCAAAATGGCTAGGAACTAGAAAAACATTCCATAAACATATTTTATGATGTTGGTAGCAAACAGCTGGGTGAGAGAAGAGTGAAAACAACCCAGCTATGAGCTGCAGATATTACTTGACAACAGAAGCTGCTCTTTATATCACACCAGGCATGGAGAGAACCTGTTTCTCCAGACTTACCTACCCATGTCTGACAGAGCATACCTAAGAGTTGTGGATGCTCATTTTGCTGAAAATTGTTTTCATGCATTTTTGAAGCTAATAATTCAACTCAACTCATCTTTGCTTCAGTCAGACTCCTTACAGTTTTATCCTTAAAACATCAGTTGACCCTCAGTATTGGTCTTAACTCTGACTAGAATTTCAAGTTTGTCAGCACAATGCAATTTCTATTTCTCCTTGTCCCCATATGTGTGTGTGTGTGTGTGTATTTTATTTAGGAAATAAAGATAGTTTAATCTTGAGATAGGGGTTAAGTCATGGTTTAAATAAGGAAACAACCAGTATATCAGATTCTTTCCTTTTCTCTGCACAAAATGAGTTTACAATTAAGGAGCCCTATTTTGTAAGGGTGGAGAACCTCCTTAATTGCACTAGTAAGGAAAAGGACTGAATGGACTTCTGGGGAATCACACAGTAAGCTTTGGGCAGTCCTGCTGTTAAGGCACATTTTCCTTCGTGGTGCTGATAATAACAGAGAATGGTACAATATACATTCTAAGACCTCAACTGGAATAAATCTGTTTGTCTTCTCCCTCACAAAAAAATTATGGTGGGTAGGATAAGGGGTGGTACTGGGGCTTGAACTCAGGGTCTCACACTTGCAAGGCAGATGACTTACCACTTGAGATACACCCCCAGCCCTTTTTTGCTGTATTTACTTTTTAGGTAGGGTGTTGAATTTTTGCATGAGATGTAGGAAGGAGATGTGATTCTCCTACCTAAGGCCTCCTGCATAGCTGAAACTGGAGACAGGTGCAACCATACCTGTTGGTTGTTGAGATGGAGTCTTTCTAACTCTTTCCCCAGGCTGGCCATGAATCTCAGTACTCCCTCAATCTCCACACCTCCCGAGTAGCAGGGATTACAGGCATGAACCAATGTACCTGGTTTTTTGTTGTTGTTAACACCAGATGTTGCTAAGTTACCCAGGCTGGCCTCAAACTCCTGGGTTCATGCAATCTTCATGCTTCAGGGTTACCATTCTCAGGTACCAATCACCACTTTCATTTGTTTTTGTTTTTTTTTTTGGTGGTACTGGGGTTTGAACTCAGGGCCTTGCCCTTGCTAGGTATGTGCTCTACCACTTGAGCCAAATTTCTAGCCCAATCACCACTTTTAAAGAGGAAGTACACTAGGGATATTCATCCAATATTAATAAGTATACGTTACACCCCAAGTAAGGAAATGAATGACAAAATTCTGGCCCTTTTCCACTGAACATACCTTGGAAGTCAAAGTGAGGCTGGAGCAGAAGATTAGGGTGGGGCCCTTTCGATGACAAGAAGCTCAGGCTGAGATATGAGAAGGAAAGGACTGAATCCAGAGCTTCAAGCTGGGTCCAGAGGCCAGGAAGAGTAGAGGGTTACTAGTAGTGGCTGTCAAGAGAGATGTAGAGGAAATTATTTTGAAAAAAGATAAACATTCCTATATTCATGGCTGTCTTCCCCCTGACTAAAAATTCTTTCCTTTTTCATGGAAGTTATTCTGTCTATACTGTCAGAAAACAAATTAAACTCCTAAGTTTTCCTTCTCCTAGAAAACCTTGGTTTATTCTTAAAGCAACTAATAATGCCACCAAAAAAATCATATTAATCAGTCAGACATGGAGTTTCACATCTGTAATCTCAGCACAGAGGAGGCTAGGTCAGGAGGATGGAAGGTTTGATGCCAGGCTGGGCTACACAGCAGTTACAGGCCAGCCTGGGTTATATAAGACCCTGTCTCCAGAAAGAAAAAGAAAGCAAAACAACTGAACAGTCAGAAATATTCACAGAATTTCCCTTTCCTCCCATCCAGCAATGAAAAAACATTAATACCTACAATGAAAATTACTGCACTAAAAAAAAAAAGGTGGGGGCGGAAATCAATGCAGCAGTCCACTCTTACCTTGGGAGTAAGGATACATTCCAAGACCCCCATTGGGTGCCTGATGATACCAAACTCTATATATACTATGTTTTTTTCCTATATACACCAACGATAAAGTTTAATTTATAAATTAGGCATAGTACAAAATAAAAAATAACTAGTAACAAAATAGAACAACTGAAACAAATTACGTGATACAAGTTATGTGAATGTGGTCTCTCTCCCCTACCTTTTCTTTGTCTTCCTTAGTATCTTATTGTATTATACTCGCCCTTCTTACACGGTGTATGGTGTTACAGTGCTTCATTGCAAGGTGAATGATGCAGGCACTGAGATGCAGCACTAAGCTATTACATATGGATTACTTGAACATGAACACTATGATAACCATGAAGGTGAAGCTGATAACCAAGAAAACTACTAAGTGACTAACAGGCAGGTAGCATATACAATGTGGACAGGGTAGACAAAAGAGATGGATGACTTATATCCTGAGAAGGACAAAGATAGATTTCATCATGCTACTCAGAATGCTGTGCAATCAAAAGACACATGAATGAACTGTTTTTTCTGGAATATCTACTTAAAATTTTCAGACTATGGTTAGTCATGGAAAAAGGGAGTACTGTAATTGGCAATCTCAGTAAGATTCGGTAATACATTGAAAAAAAAATATGAGCATACTGTCATATAAGAACTGTTTTTTCTGGAATATCTACTTAAAATTTTCAGACTATGGTTAGTCATGGAAAAAGGGAGTACTGTAATTGGCAATCTCAGTAAGATTCGGTAATACATTGAAAAAAAATACGAGCATACTGTCATATAAGAAAGCAAAGAAGATGGGGAGAAAAGTTGATTTTGATATCAAAAGAAAATCTTAGTCTTTTTTCCTTTTTGAAAAAACCTTTAATTTTCAAAATCAAAGGTTCCTCAAAGCCAGGCAAGATTACTAGTACTAAGAGAATACAGAACTCAGTATTTAATTTGATCACAATACATTACATCCATGTATTATTTATAATGAAACCCCTATGTACAATTAACTTATGCTAATAAACATAAAATAAATAAAAATGATCTATAATTTACCCTAGTAAAAAAGGTTTTATTTTTAAAAAATAAAAATGAAACACCATCCAAAAAGGTGGCAAGGCAGTTATCTACAATAATTACTTATTCATAAGCAACACCAACTATAATCAGACACCAATATTAACCAGACATTTCATTCATGAATGTAAATACTAGAAGACAATGGAACAAATACTTACAAATATTTACAGAGTTTTGAGGGAGAAAGGACTAACTCAAGAATTAATTCTATATCTAGGAAAACTCTCATATGTGAGGACAGAAAATTTTAGATATACAAAGATTCAATATACTATATACGTACACTTTATGGAAAATGTTCTGAGTAAATACTTCAGAAAAATCGCATTTCAATCAAACAACTTAAAAAAAAAGAAAGAATGTAGTTGAGAAGAAACATTTGTGGATAATATCTACAACATAGAAATAAATATAAATTTTGTTGTTAACACAAGTTAAGGAAAAAAACTGGAGAAAGGGAACATTAGCAGCATCAAATATTCAAGAAACCCTTGTGAGAAAAACTAACAATGGTTTCCCACTGGAGAGGTAACAATAGCAAAAAAACTTCTGGATTCTGGAAAGGAGATGCATAGGTAGTAAATGACCTCACAGATCCAAGAAAACTTAATTCCTGACAGACAGCAGGCAAAAGCTAAGAACTAAGACATTTTATACTCTGAATCTTCAAAAGACCTAAGAATTGCAGCAGGAAATTACTCAGATATGGGAAGGAGGAGAGGACAATGAAATGTGGAGAAAGCTGATTGAGTTTTAGTTAGATACTAAGAGTCTCTTCCCCAATCTGTCATGCTATAGGTAATGGTAACTGCCATTCTCCCTCCACAGAAGTCTAGCGGATTATTCTCTGTAGAGGATAAAACACAATCTCTGAAATAGGAGACCAGGCTCAGGTAAGAGACTAGGCACCATATCAAAAGCAAGAGGATTAACTGACCATATACAAATGAGACACCAACCTCCATGCCCTATTTCCTTTCATCCCCCTTTAGGATCTAGGTTAAAACAATGCTATTTAAAATATGACCTGCTGATGGTTCATGAAACATCTATTAGCAGTCCATGACAAGTCGAAAAAAAGAGTGCTTAAAATAAAAAGCTTCTAAGCAATTTTCCAGAATAAAGTTTATGCCTATTGAATTAAATAATAAAAATATGGACTTTTGGCTTAGTATGTCTTCATGTTTTAAATTTTGTTTTTCTAATTTATTTTTACTGTAGTCCAAAAATATCAGCATACAATCAATTGGAATTAAAAGAAAAAAATTCTGGTGTTTCACCAGTTTCAAGAAGCACCAAATCAGAATCTGGAGGCTAACTAGGTTCATACAGAGTTCTCCAAGTGGGAGCTATTATAAACCCCTCTAGTGATTCATACAGAGCTTCCCATCAGCCTCTTAGCCATGACGAGTCAGTCAAAGATTACCAGACATCTGAGGCAATCCCCTAAAATTAGCACATTATCAAAACCGAATAGATGGAAAAAGGAACTTTTAAAACACAGACTATAGCATTAAGACAACATAATTTTTAAAAGTCATTGATAGGTTAAGAACCAGATTTTTAAAACTAAAGAATCTTGTGTTTATAAAATCATAAAATAACAAAAGCTAGAATGGCAGGTTTGTATGAGTTGGGAAGAGACAGGAGGATATGACCAGAGAGAAAACAGATGTTTCCTAATTTAAGTAATTGGTATAAAGGTATTTATTATTTTTAAACCACATTTATATTTTAAGCATTTTGCATATAAACATTTTATGAAAAAAGTTAAAAATTACAAAATGGGCAAAAGACACAAACATATACATGGGTATGTATGAAAATACAGTCAATATTCCTGCAATTCAAACAAATTAAAATAAGAAAACTTCCACCAATCATGTTGCAAATGATGCTACACATTTCTAATGCCCAGTATCAGCCAGTAAGGAAAAAGAAGTCCTATGATATACTAATGGAAATGTAAGCTGGCCAACCTTTAGAAAGAGTAGAATGAAACCTGGAAGAAAATTACAGAACTTCTGATTCAGTTTTAGAAATGTATTCCAAAAGTAACATCAGAGGTATTCAATGCAGCAGTTTACAAAAATCACAAAATTAAAAATAACTAAATGTCCATCAATAAATAATTATATAATTGCATTCAATATTATTCAATTTTTTAAATATTGTAAATCCACATTTATTAACAGGAAGATATCCAAGACACATAAAATTGAAAATTCCCTGAAAACCAACAGTAGACATACTAGGACTTAGTCTGTTGAAATAGTGACAGAAGGATCTTTACAAACTCACAGTAAAATGGAAGAAAAAACATACAAAAATGTTTCTAGTGATTACTTGTTATCTACAGGTCGCTGTTTGTTAAGATGTCCTTGGATCACTGTTGCTTCCACACTGGCATATTTCCTTAATACAGCAAGAGCAAGTAACTGACGTTTAGATGTTATGAGAATCATGATCTCTTTACCTTTAGACTACACTTTTTTTACCTGTATACCAATTATTTAAATTAGAAAACAACTGTTTTCTCTCTCGTCATATCCTCCCATCTCATCCCAATTTATATAAAGCTGCCATTTTAACTTGTTTTTATGATTCTATAAACACCAAATTCTTTAGTTTTAAACTTTATCAAACAGTGGTATAAAACCATGAGTATTGTGAAATTCTCAAACAAAGCAAATGACTTCTATGGTAAACTGGATTTTACCTAAAGTCAGTATTCTTTATACTACTGTAAGAACAATGAACGCTGACACTAAAGGTGAACAGGTCAAAACAAAATAGGGGCTTTGGGATGCAGCTCAGTGGTAGAGTCCTGTATTCAATTCCCAGTACTGGAGGTAGAGGGTATTCAATACTGTATTCTTTGTATTAATGCAAGGCACCCAATCTGGAAAGAGAAACTGTTAACACTAGTCTTAAACAACAACATAACACTTATAGAATGAATAACTATACTACCGGATGTCAGAGAACCATATAAATTCATGTGATTAGAGAACTATTTTTGTTTATTTAACAAAAATAACTAATTTTTATAAATTAGTTAATTTATGAGGAATGAGGTTATCTAAAATGTAATGGGAGTTAGTACTAGCTATGTATGCAATGTTGTTAGAAAAATAAAAAGTTGCATGTATTTTACAAAGAAAAAAATGGTATCCCCCCCCCCCGTAAATTGGGATTACAGGCATGCTCCAAAATGCCTAACAGTTTGGTTTTGATATTACAGAGAGTTTACAAAATGAAATGGGGTACTTTCTACCATTTCATTTGCACTACACTAGTTCACTAACCACAAGTATCACTCTGTCCTTAAAGTGACTTAGACTGCACCAACAGTACCACACAGCTTAGTAACTTTCTTAAACTTTAAATCTTCAAACTTTTTAAAGTTCTTCTACGGTTTCTGAGCTGTTCAGGTTTTCTACTGCTTGAGTTACTTTGGTAACTTGTATTTTCTTTAAAAATAATCAATTTAGGCTGGAGGTGTGGCTCAAGCAGTAGAGCGCCTGCCTAGCAAGTGTGATGCCTTGAGTTCAAACCCAAGTAATAGTATTAACAACAACAAAAAAAATCAATTTAGTATATTCTCAGAAACATAACAATCTATCCATATACATCACTTTAATATCCACAAATAGAAACACAATAAAGTAAATTACAGAACATCCACATGAAAACATTACACAGAAAAATGATGTACACATTGAATTGGGAAACTATTTATTGTGAATACTACTTTTTATTTACTTTTTTAAAAAGGAAGTCACAGATTAAAGCATGCAATAGGAGAAAGACTCTATGAATATATATTTACTAAGCCTTAGCAAATCTACAGAAAGATAGTCTCCCAATACTGAAAACAGATTATGATTTTAAAGGAAAGACAGCAAGGCATAGCAAGAAAGAAAACAAAAAACCTAATTAATAGGAAGACAAATCTTTAGCTTTCCTAGGAGCCCTAATTAAAACCAAGGGAGCAATGTCATACTGAGGCCTGCCTTTGTATTCCTTTCTATGTTCTTTCTTGAATTCTACTTACCCTTAAATAATTCCCCCTCCCTTTCAGTTTATTCCTTATTACTTGTTCACAACATGGTTCACATGGTCCCTATTACTAGTAACCAAAGGCTCTTATTTAGAACAAAAGTTGATAGATCAATTTGACAGTATTTACTTCACATAAAGGTAGGTTGTGTGATGATCTTTGAAGAATAGGACTTAGACATGTAAGAAAGAAGCAAAGGTGACAGATCAGAAAAACAGAATAAGGAAACATTGGAAAAAAAGGATTTTTCTTCCAAGGTGCTACAAGGTCTAGATCAAAGAGAGAATGCATAACAGGGAGACTAAGTGAGAATAGACTACAGAGGATAGATGTGTATTTGATATGAAAGGTAACTAGGAGATATGAAAGTTAACTAGGAGGCATTGATAGTTTATAAGCAGAGAGAAGTTACAAAATATAAACCTGTTGCCTAACACCATCATACTGAGGATTAGAATTAAAATATATTAAAAAAAAAAAAAAAACCCCAAGGATTTTAGCACATAAATTTGGTTGGGGAGAGGGGTATAAACATTCAGCCTATAGCACCAAGACACTTAACATTTTATCTCTTTTTAAAGGCCTGGCAAGGAACAGTACCTCATCCTGGGTCTCTCTTCGTCTCACACCATTCTCGCCATCTATAAATATACTTCAACAAGCCACCATGGACTTTCAGCTCCTTAAATACTCCTTTCCTATCTCAGGACTTTCCATCTGCTACTCCCTGCTTGATACATTCTTTTTCCCATTCTTGAAATGGCTAGATCCTTCTCATCTTTTAGGGTTAAGCTCAAATATCATCACCCTGCCAATGCCGTCCCAATTTATACACCATCTCCTCCTCCAATTAAAAAAAAAGTATTCTCTATTTTCCCTGCAGATTTCTTGGGTAATGTATCTTTTTTGTAATCTATTTCTGGCAACATTTTACTTACTTGCCAGTTTTATTTTCTGTCTATACAACTGGGCTATATACACTGCACACAGGGATCATATCTATCTGCTCTATGCTGTAGCACAAGCATCTGGACTAGGGCTGGGCTTCTAGCTAGCTATCACCAAATCAGTACCGGTCTTTGTTCTAAAGTTTACAGAACAACATGGTTATGCTTACTAAGTAAGGTTAGTGTAGTTGACTTCAGTTATTTCAGCAGTTACATACATAATATTATTCCTAATTTAGGGTTATAATGTATACACTTAATGCATTTTGTAAGGGGAATTATATTGAGGTATGCAAGAGTTTTGGGATTTCAAAGATCCCAGGATCTATCTAACACAAACTGCAAGGGACAGGCATTTGTGTGTCAAGGATTGATAAACCATGTTTTCATAATAGGGTACAATATTTTCCATTTCTTTTCCATACCTTTCCTTATAATACCACCAATTTGTTGGCAGATTTTTGTTTTTTGCTCTTCTTTTTGTTCACATCAGGATATTCAGATGAATGTCTCCAGGAAACTAGTCTACAGGGATTACCTAGCCCCTTTTCTGACTCATAATTTAACTGCCATTAATCATAATGTAAATATATATTATATAATTTTTCTTTGGGTGCATTACTTCTGGCTACTCATACAGCTTTGAAACATGTTTCTACCATATTTATCTCCATTATTCATTAAGCAGAGCCCTAATGCTACCTCTGTATTTAGAAGTATGACACAGTTAAAATCAACTTTAGAGCACTAAAAAAATGTTAAATATATGAAACTAATACTGCTTTTTTGCTTACATTAAAATGAGAACCCATGTATAGGTATTTATTTTGGCCAAATATAAACCTGTTACTTTTAACTTATGAAAACTCATGTATGTTAACTCTTTTAGTTTATTTAACCCAACATTAAAACACAGGAATTTACTACTCAATAGACTACATAATCTAGTACTTCAATCCTAATCATACCTTTCTTCAAGGAATAAAAGGCACACAATTTAATGCTTGGACAGTGTCACAATCAGGAACCGTATCAAAGGAAGAGACGGTATCTGGAAATGAAAAACAAGATTTTTAAATTTTTGGCTGCAAAAACTGCTAGTTAAGAAATTTTGTGTGTGGATTTTCTTTTTTTTGGTGGGAGGGTGGGTAACTTGGGAATAACCCCAGGGCCTTGAGCATGTCAAACACCACCTGAGCCATACCCCCAGTCCTGTAATATTTATAGTTCTTGGTTTAGCTAACTTTGCCAGAGCTGGCCTTGAACTTCTGATCCTCCAGCCTCAGACTCTGGAGTAGCTGGGATTATAGCCATGAGCCACTATGCCCAACTTGATTCAACAACTTCATATTCAGTTTAGGTGTATGATTTTTTAAAAAAATACAAAAAAAAAAAACGCCTCTTGCAAATAGCATTAGCACCCAGTGATACCATAAATTTACATAAGTTACAACTCAAAGGTTAGAATCGACCTAATTTAATACCTTCATTTAACATGAGATAGAGAAAATTAGTCTTGTCCCACAAACAAACTAGAACTAGTATCTGGATCTGATTTCAAACCAGTTATCCTACTAGCACAATGCCACCTCTTAATAATTCTCACTGCTGGTATCCAACAGCACATAAAAACTGCTCACCATGTGAAGCCAATTCCCCATTCATAGCCTACACACTTGGGATTAGATAATAAATAAAAATTCTAAGACTGTGTAATAATCCTTTTCTTCTGCTTATAGTGTTTTGCCAAAAACCTTTTCGTAGAGTACCAGAAGGAATCTGAATAAGACAAAAAGGTGGGAGCTGGGTGTGGTACATGCCTGTAATTCTAACACTTCGGAGGCTAAGTAAGGGGGATCCAGAATCCTGAGTTCAAGAACAGCTTGATAGTAGGAAATAAGAAGTTGTATTAAGTGCTCTAAAGCACACCATGCTTCAATGAGAACAATTCCAAACAACTACAAACATAAATAACAATAAAAATATGTTAAAAGTGTGGTCAGGCATCTTTTGAGGTAAAACTTTATCTTCAGGCTAATGCTGTTTTATATTATTTCAAAATATAAAAACTTTTGGAATCATAGTATGCCATTACCAGAGAGGATAGGATAGAATGTGAAGTGAAAATGGAAAAATCTGAAGCATTTAAAGGCTAATTCATTGCACAATATAGATTTGCTGAAAGATACTACATTTGTAGATAGGGAGTTAAATTCCAAAACGGTTAGGAAATTTCAATGAGTCAGTTTAAGTAGTCTATGTTCAACTGGACGATGGGAACCTCGCAAAGTGTCCTCAAATTAGAGCCCTTGCTGCCGAAAGGGCTCCTCAACAGCATCAGGAGCCACAACTAAGATTCGGACTCTCAAATCAGGTCCCTGCCCTGACGTAGGTTGATGTCCTCGTGTCACTCCAACATTCTCAGGGACTTATTTTGTCTATGGAGTTCCTTAGGCTTTTGACAACAGACTCAACCACGTTTTCACTAACATGGCTCACAAACACTACATGCCCCAAATTCAACCTCAGAAAAAACTGAGCCTTAACTTTTGTTTTCTCAACTTCAAAGCTCCATCTGTCTTGGTCCACTTCTGAGATACAAACAGATTTTACCTCACAAACCTTCGCCCATACACTCTCAGCCACCAAGGCACTACCTACTTGACAAAGAGCAGCGTGTTAAGAGGAAATTCAAGATGGACCCTACAAGTGCGAGAGCCAGTTGGGGAGTCACTGGCCCCTGGGCGTGCTGGGGTGGCGGGGAAGGGCGCCCTGCCCCACTCGGGGAGGCGCGCGGGGTGCGGGCGCCCAGGGGCTGGGCATCTCCACGGGACGAGACCCCCGGGCCCGCGGACCGGGCCCCCAGCAGAGATGCCGTCGAGGCGGGCCGCAGAACCTACAGCTCGAGGGTGCGCGCTGCGGGGCGCCCATTCGGTCTCCCCCAGCCGCGGAACGCGACGGGCGCTGCTTCGAGCGCCGCGCGGCGCCCCCGAACCCCGCGCCCGATCCGCCCCTTCCTCCGGAGTCCGCTGCCCCTCAGGCGCGCGGAAGCACACTGTCAACGGGATCGGCACCCAGCTCTCAAGATGCGGGAGAGTGCGGGGTCCAAACGGCCCAGACTTAACACGAACACGAGACACGAGACAAGACGCGAGGGTCCAACTCCAGTACCCTGCACAAGCGCGTGTTTAAAAAAAAAAAAAAAAAGACGGACTTCTGTAGAAAAACTTTACGGGAAGTTGGGCGGAAGGGCTGAATGGCCGGGACTATTTAACAGACGCTTCCTCTCACAACAGGCGGATCCCTAGGCCTCTTGAAGAGACCCTAACGCCCCACAAATTCGCCATTTGCCCCCTGACTGTCCGTCTCTAAGTCTGGGCAACCTAACCGGTCTTGGCAGGTCCGCAAAGGGGGAATACCTGTCATAGTCCCCATTGCCTGCGAGTCTCTGATGGCGGCCATTACCCTTCCATCCGGGTATTGCCGGAAAGCTGATCGCAGCACTACCGGGAGTGCACGCTGCGGCGGAAGGATTCGCGCTGCACCTGAGGCGAGCGGAAGGCAACGGAGGCCGGGAGGGTCCGCGCCTCAGCCTGAGGAGAGTAGGCCGTGGCGCTGTACTCGCCGCCGACCCCACCCGCTTAGCGCCCCTCTCGCTGCACTGACTCGCCGCTTCCCCTGTACTCACCAGCTGCTGCAGAAATCCCACTGCCAAAGGAATGGCGGCCAGACGGCCACTCAATGCTGCTCTTGAGTAGTCACGAGAAGCAGCCCTTGCTGACTGGGAATGGGTTCAACCCTGAGGCTTAACCATTTCCGGCTTAGCAAATGGCGTCTTCTCTGTCACTGGCTTCTGACACGCGGGCGTTAGCAGCCATCGAAGGCCAGGTCAACGCAACAGGCCGTGACCCTCAGCTCTGGGGGGGCGTGTTGAAGTCCAGACGTGGAGATATTTAAAGAGTTGGTCTGGAAAAAAGTCTTCGCAACGAGGGAGGCTCAACCCACAAAGGAAGGGTTCCGCCTCAGGTCCCGGCCAGGGCAGTGGCTCCTCCGGGACCACAGTGCAGATAAACCCTAAAAACCCACGGGGCGGGACGTGGCGGCAACGCTACAAACTAACAACACCGGCGGACGGATACACAAACGAGGCCCTGCCCCAGGGTCGCTTCTGGTGTCCTAACTCCTCAAGAGGAGGTCCCACGGAGACCATCTTGTAAACCTTGTAAGGCACATGATGAGTGCTTTTCTGACAGGACTTTCTCTGTCCTTCAATAAAAAGCACGGTGGTCTTGGGAAGCTTTGTCACCATGGTCAGGGGTCTAAATCGGACCTGGGAAGGCCAGGGAGCAGAAATGCACGCTGGTTATAGGACTATATAATGCACAACGGATTTTCCATGAACGCCAAACGGACTTTCCATGAACGCCAAACGGACAGCATTATGGAATAAAGAACACGTTTAAAAATAATTTTCTGTTGCACTTTATGGCATCCCTCGCTCTCCAGGTCTTCATTCCATGCAAGCCACACAAGAGATGGGGGAAAATATCAGCATACAGAGCAAGAACAGGAAATCGTTGCAAAAATGTAGAAATACTAAATATGTATATATGGCAGTTGAAACGACATAATGTTTAAGCAACAAGACGACTACAATTAAATAACTCAGATATGAAACTGATTGAGTAACTTTCCTAGAAAGATGCAGAAAAGCATAAAAAGATAGTAAAGGAAAGAAATGAGAAGACAAGATATGATAGACGTAGTAATATAACATCCAAAAATAGGAAGCTCTATGGAGAGAGTATTTGAAGAAAAAGTTTTCTTTAAATGGTTTATGGGGTGCCAAACAGGAAATAAAATGAAAAGAACACCTCAAATACACTACAATAAAATTTAAGAATATTGATGAAAACTAAAATTCTAAAACTTCCCAGAGATAAAGAGAAGATCACATAAAGAACAAAAATAAGAGTGAGATCATGGAGCTACCAGGGCACTAGGCATTTTATTTTCTCTCAGCAGTAGTCCAAGCAAAAGTGAGTAAGAAGAAACAAAAAAAGGTCTTCTCATGCTGCTTTTTAGTCAGGGAGAAAAATTTTTCCAATAAACTTCTCTCTATATTTCATTGGTTAGGACTGAGTCACATACTCGCTTCTAGAACAATTGAGGGCAAAGGAAATCAGGATTATTGGGCTCAACTCAAGTCAATCATGATTTATATCCCGAGATGGGGCAAACTGCCACCTGAGCTAAATAAAATAGTAGTTCTAATTAGCAAGAAGGAAGGATGAATAACTTGGTTGGCAATCAAATATGTTTGGTATCTGTCAATATAACAACAAAAAAGGAGAACCAAACATGGTAGAAGAACAAAAGAGTGCCTATGAAGTAGTCTTATCAATACATAGGAAATACGGAGGTCAGAGGAACATTTAAATACCATGGGCAAAATCAGCTATGAGCTTTGGGAAACTGCACGGGACAAATGACACTTTCTCACCCTTACAAAAAAAAATTACAAGACAAAAAAGAGATGGGAGAGAAAACCTATAGGTTAAGAGAAATATAAATTATTTATAAATCACTATGTGTAGAAATTATCTGTGTCCTGATTCAAAAGAACAAACAAAAAGATATTTATGGCATGTATGAGACAGACATTTGGAAATCTAATGATATTCAGAATTGTCTTGTTAATATTTTAGGTGTAATGCTAGGTATATGTTGTTATACCTTAAAAATTTATCATGCTGAAATATTTATAAATGAAATGATAGTGTAATCTGAGATTTATTTCAAAAGTAAGGAGATACATGGCAGGGATTTTAGATGAAATGAGGTAATTGTTGACCATGAAAGATGGGTGCAGAAAAGTCATAAAGTTCTGTCTACTTTTTGAATATGTATTACATTTTCCACAGTAAAATGTCTTTAGAAGCTGGCATAAAAGAAAAAGAGGGAAGCTAAAGGAGACTCTACCATCAGGCCACTGTGCTTCATTTATTTCCTGACAGGAAGGGAGCTCTAGAGTGAAGACTAGCACAGAAAAGGGAGAGATTGTCCTGAGAATCAGCCTGGCATTACTGAATAAATCAACCGAGAGTAAAAGATATGTCCATAGACCCACAGGTCTTCACTTGAACTGATTCTGTAACTATGTTCCTCAAAGACAAGAAATCAATGGTGCACAAAAGAAATTGCCTCTCAAGCCAACAGACACTCAACAAACAGAAACGAAAAATGTTCGGTGAAGACCATAATCACCCACTGCCTCTTTTCCCTCTTTCTCTAACCTCCTCAGGCAGCTGAGTAACTGAAAAACAGATATAAATTATTAACATCCAGCTCATAACTCAAAGTGTAACAGAAGGATTCAAACATTTGCTAGATGAACAGGAAGAGGAGTTAAGGAGACTCCTCCATCTATATAATTATTGGCACAGAAAGATGAATTCAAAATTGGTAATTAAAAATTAAGACTCCATGGAGTTCACATAAGAATTCTCCTTGCTCCCTCAAAAATTATTTATAAAACAAGAGGTATTTAGGAGAAGATTATGGGAAGATGTCAGAATAGGACTCACCAGGCATATGCCTCTCTCCCTAGTCAACAGCTATATTGGCAAAACCTACTTGATGTAACTATTTTGGAACACTGAAGTCTACTGAAGGTTTGCAACTTCCAAGGAAAGTCTGGTATGGTAAATTGCAGTTAATTTCGGTCAATTTCAGCTCTTAGCTCAATCACACCACCCTCTAACCCTCTAGGCAAAGTGGGTACTTGTTACACCTGTGGCAACTTCTGCACAGCTTCCAAGAGTCAGGATAGACAATAAGAACCAAATATTTGCTCTTGAGATATCAAGGATCTGTATTCTTTTATTTTTCTTTCCTTTTTTTAGGGGGGTGGGGAACAGGGGAACACCCAAATCCTCACCCATGCTAGGCAGGTGCATTACCACTGAGCTAGAGATCTGTATTCTGATCTCTAACTGCTGTTCTGACCACAGAGGGGCAGATATAGAGGGCACAGCCATTGTTGCACCACCCTGCACCCCAAGACTCCTGCTGACCAAGGTTGTAAAACCCTCTGCTCCTCAGGCTGAAGCAACAGCTAGAGAATTTAAAGGACCAGTGTCTTTTTCTTCCCCTTCATTTTTCTATTTTCCCTTGTTTGGGAAAACTGACATTATAGACTCGATTATTAAAAAACAACTGCATATTCTAGGGAAATTGGAAAGACACTGCAGAGAAAGGCACAGACTCAGAAAAGAACAGAGGAGACCTTGAGTATATACCTTAGGCTGATCCTCAGCATAGGGGACAGATTGTAACAATAACAACAACAACAATTAAAAAAAAATCCCTGAGGAATGGGAAGAATCTGATTGCCAAAGTTATCATATCACTAGATTCAAATGTCCAGTTTTCAATAACAAAATCACAAGGCAAACAAAGATAAAGGAATGTATAGCCCATTCAAAGGGGGAAAATACCAAAAGAAACTGTCACTGAGAAAAGACCAAACCCATTAGACAAAAATTTTAAAACAAATGTCTTAAAGATGCTGTTGAACCTTAATGAATTGGCTGGCTTACATCAGCCTCCATACAAGTTGGCCCAAAGAGGCTTTAGTATATAGGGAAGGGGGCTTGATGTGCCATCACGTTAATACCTAATGTAAAAGCACACTCTGTTAGCTAAGCAACTGAGCTGAAGCACAGCAGCCAACCTCTTAGCAAACCCAGACCAAAAGCTGCCAATTATACCCATGAAAACAAATGCCAAAGCACACCGATCAGATTATATCTGCATATAATTTCTTGTCTTTCTGGTTATAAAAGTAATTCACCATTACATCTAAGGAGCAGGAGCATTCTCAACCATCTTTGCTCTGGAATATGCTGCCAGGTTCTAGAACTCATTGCTTGTTCAAGTAAACTTATTAAATTGAACTGCTTTCAGTTTTTTATTTTGCTATTGTTTTTCTTAACAATGATCAAAGAAATGAAAGAAGAGGTGGGAAAAGTTGAGAAAATGTTCTATGAGCAAAATGGAAACACCAATAAAGTGATAGAAATCCTAAAAGGAAATTAAAAAAAAAAATCCTAGAGCTGAAAAATATAGTAACTGAATTGAAAAAAAAAAAAGACAAACCACTAGAGGGATTCAAAGGCAGATTTGAGCAGGTGGAAGAATCAGTGAACCTAAAGATGGACTAATCAATTATCAAGGCTGATATGTGAAAAGGAAAAAAAACTAAGAAAATTAGTAAGACCTAAAGGAACTGTAGAACATCATTAAGTGGACCAGCATATTCATTTTAAGAGTTAGAAAGATGGTCAGAAAGATTATTTGTGCATTAGACATATCCTACAAAAAAATGCCAAAAAGGGTAAGTGCAGATTGAAATGAAAGGCTACCAGTCAGCAGTTCAAAGTCACATGAGGAAATAAGAGATCCTAGTAAAGGTAAATGCATATGCAATTACAAAGA